CCCCCCCACACACACACCCCCCCGGGACATCGCGTGGGAAACGGCCTCTCCTCGCCCAACGAGAGCGACCTGTAGGATCGCACCGTGCGGATTTTTGGGGCCCCGCCAGGACTGGGACCTGCTTTGGGGAAGAGGCCTCAGCTGCCAAGCGCAGCCACCCGGTGACCAATTTTATCACCGTGAGGTGCCCCATCTGCTTTAGGGAGGCTTTGAAGAAACTATGCACATCCAGAAGTATTTAAGTACCCCCAGACTTTGCCCAACAGCCTTGTCTTTTCCTCGCTGTTACAGATTCCATCACGTCAACTCTTAACGCACCTATAAAACATCCTCGGATAACTTAATGCCTGCCTAGACTCCAAAGACATAGTCCACAAACCCAAGTGTATCTCTGCCTCCTGGCCATAGACCCTGCCCTTCGAGGAGTAATTCTTACTCCTAGGACTAGTTCTTACTCCTAGAACAGATGAGTGAAGCACAGGACAGAGATAGAAAATGTTACCAGCAGGGGTGTCAGTGTTAGACCACCATGCTGGGTACATACACCGCTTTTTTGTAGCTGCTATTTCCAAATCAGTTCACCAGGCAACTCTATCACAAAACTTTCCTGCTCTGCTTCACATGCCTGAAGATAAGAAAACTCCAGGTTTTTCACGAGCAACCTCTTCCCTACCTTTTTTTTTCTCCCTGCTATGAGGCTGCTAAGACTTTGCTGACAAGCTCTAGGAGATGGAGTTGCGTGTGCACAGTAACACCACTGCAGGAATGCTTCTAGGGCACAAGGCATCTTGTCCTAAAATGTGTCCATGGGCCCTGAGCCCTCCTTACAACCCAGAACCGTGACAAGAGAAAGGACTGAGTGCCGCTGTGGCAGCCCCTGTCCCAAAATTCCAAATCCCCATCTTGAGAAGGGGCAGCTCAACTCTTCCCCTGCCCAGCTTCCGAAGTTCTGGATCTTGTACACTCTAGCGATAAAGACTGCTGTTCCTTTAAAAACCAGCTTGATTTTGTCCTTTCATCCATGTTTAG